ATTACTGAAATAAATCTACTTTTTCATGATATTCTAATTTTATGACCAGCACCTGTACATGTTTAAACTGTTGTTAATAAAAATATTAATAGATTTTGACTATAGTTTACATTAATGTTAAATGAGTACTATTAATATGAGAAATGAGTACTGATGCATAAGAATAAAGTTATTTATAAACAAAATACTATCAGCAGCTTAAACTAATGTTATGGTTATTTGCTTACCGGTAATATGGCTATGTAAGTTTAGCTTAAAATAGTAATTTCATAAAACTAGAAAGAAATTTATGTGAACTAATCAACATTAGTAAAATATGTTAAATGTGTTTACTACGTTGTGTTGAAGTTCTTAAGTTAACACAGCTAAACCTGATTAGTTTCATCATTTTGTAAAAACTAGAATGGTTTAAAACAGATTTCCACACAATTTGGTTAAGAGTGTGGTTAGGAGACAGTGACGTTGGAGACAGACGGAACTGGAAGTGGCCGAGCTGACGCTCTTGAGGTTCTCCTTGGGAGTGACGAGGATGGATGAGATTAGGAATGAGGTCATCGGAGGTACAATGCAGGTTGAACCACTGAGAGGTAAAGCTAGAGATGGTTTGGACATGTCCAGAGAAGGGACAGTGGGTAAATTAGTAGAAAGTTGTTAAATATCCTCAGTTTCTTAGCCCATTGCCGTTGGGTACAGTGCAAACACTCAACAAGACGTGTGTGGACACACGTGGACATGGGTGTGTCCAAAACGGCAGGCCGGGTCCTCCGAAGGCCGAATTCGTCGGCCGCATACGTCACAGCGTCGCGACGAAGGACGTCCAAAACCGAAGACTCCTCCGATGCRKCCGACAAATACGTCCTTCCTTTTCCCCGATTTGAAGGACAGGTCTGATGGATCCTTCCGGACCCAGCATATCCCATGATGCATTGCGGCCCGACCGGAGATTCGGCTTGGAATGAGCCCTTTCCAGCTAGGGGTGTCATTGTTGATCCCTGAAGGATCACGTTGGCCCTCACTATGTGGGCAAACCACTTCAATTTCTTCATCCTGGTCTGTGTTTGGAAGGGTTCACGCTCTCAAGTCTATGGCAGATCTCAGCATTTGTAGTGTGGTTGGACTAGTCGACATAAACCGTTTATATTCTTTTCTCTATCTCAGCCTTCGGAGTCCAGGTTTCTGCAGCGTGGAGGACAAATAATACCAAGGAGTCTAACTTTGGTAGCATGTTGCTGAAGATAGCTGCCAGGAAAAAGACAGAGGAGATGTATGTGTGCAGTTAGAGGACAGGGAGGTAGATGGAAAAGGGAACACCTTGTCCTATTCCAACAAAATATGCTGTTTTTAGTCATTTTAACACAAACGCTCAGCGTTATGCAGCCATAACACACAGCTACAAACCATTGTTTCAAAGATAATGAAACAAATGGAGTTATATAAGAGAGGGAAGTGTTATACAAGCGAAATGATCAGGAGACTCTACCTCCCTAATATCCGTTTCTTCTCATCGCTGGTCAGGTGATTCTTTTTATGCTTCTGAGACTGAAGAGACTTTGTTCTTCTTTTCAGCTCAGAACATCAGTCCTATCTGCAGCGAGCTGAAGATGGTGCGTCTCTGTTGGCTGTTTGTGATGGCGTTCGTGTGCCGCCCCGGGTTCGGGTCGTTGTGCTCCGTGTGCAACGAGTTCAGCCGTCTGGACAAGATACTGGTGAGTTCAGCTTCGTGCTCGGTCACTTTCACAAACATTGAATACTTGTTGCTATTTTWCCTGAGTCACTGCAGGACCCTGACGGTAGATGTTTAAGAGCCACTGGTTTAATTTTATAATTCCCAGGAATAAAAGACCAGMAGAGCTGTAAAATCAACGAGTGTCTGTGGTCTGTCTCCTGCAGGACTGTTTTCACCTCTGCACATCTGAAGTCCACTCTGAAAGCCCTGATCTGATTGAATCTGCTCAGCAAACACACGATGATGATGATGATGACAGACTCTCACTCAGCATCATCCTGTCCATCCTGACCTCTGGAGACCAAACCTCAGGGTCCGCCGCCCACAGGGACGAGCGGCGTTCCTACGCCATGGAGCACTTTCGCTGGGGGAAGCCTTCAGGCCGTAAACGCCGACCCGTTAAGGTCTTCATCTCCTCTCTGGAGGGAGGGGCTTCCCCTGGGGCCGACCTCCTGTTCCGGGCTCGCAGGCATCTGAGCAGAAACAAGGCCGAAGGCAAGGGGGGCGTCCTTAAAGCAAGGTATCAAACTCAGGGCTTGTCGAGACCCAGAGCAAGACCCTCGGGCCTGCCGGAGAAGAAATACAAAACCTACAGGATGAGTCACTTCAGGTGGGGGAACCCCCCYGCATCAAAAAGAGACGAGCGCTGGGAGAAGAACCGGCAGGGGCAGCTGACCCAGTTCCTCCAGAACATTTTAATGAAAGATGTGTAGAGGATGAAAAAGGACTGAGCAGAGGGCATTCTCACATTGGTTGAATTGATTACCCTCTGTAGCTGTTTTTAATGGGTCAATATTAAACTCCTTAAAGGGACGGTTTGGATCTTTTARAATGATGTTCTGTGGAAACGTTAGGAACAATTAAGATCTCGTGGAACACGTTAAAGAATCAGTTTAATTCTGACTGGGTGGAAGCACAGGYAACAACAGGTAAGATATTTACTGTTCAAAGCCTTTCCACAAAACCCCATTTTAAAAGATCTGAAGTGTGTTTTATCTGGACATTGTTTCAAAAGGTTATTCTTTTTCAGGAGGAACGGTTTGTGTATTTAGTTCATCAATATAACAGATTTTGTAAATAAAACAATAAAGATTCTGGKTTTGCAAACACTAATTTTCAGAGTTGATGAACTTGAATTGATACTTTTATTTCATGAGGACTGAATTGGTTGAAACAACCGTGCAATGTTGTGGAAATACTAATATACACTCACCAGCCACTTTATTAGGTACACCACGCTAGTAACGGGTTGGACCCCCTTTTGCCTTCAGAAC